TGCTCTGGAGGACGCTGGAGCCCGTCAGAAGCGGGCGTATGATATTCGCGCCCATGGACCCACTCTGGTGCCTGGGGACAGGGTGTGGGTTTACTGCCCCCAGAGGAAGCGGGGGCAGTCACCCAAACTGGCCCAGCACTGGCAGGGACCAGGGGAAATCCTAGACAAGCTGTCAGAGGTTGTTTTCCGGGTCCGTATGCCAGGGCGGGGTCGGTGGGTGGTGCTCCATAAGGACCGGTTGGCACCATATCACCCACTGGTCCCCGAACTAGAGACTGTGGCAAATCCGGACAACCTCTTCTGCAGAGTTGGGGGACTCGGATGGACTGGGGGTGGGGCCTGGCGGAAGGAGCAGGGACCTAAGGAGGCCGAGCCACGCTTGCCGCGCCCCAGGATATCTGAGGGACTTTGTTTTGGGGGTCTGAGGGTTGTGGGGACATTTAACCCTCTTGGGCGGGGGTTGTGTGGTGGCCACCGGGGTTTAATGCTGACGTGGGTTGTGGGGTATCCTGTCTGTGATGTTCTGGCATGTTCTGTGTTGTTCCAGTCAATGGCATGGCTAGGGGGAGGAACCAGGAAGTGTGTGTGTGCGAGAAAAGAGAGATCAGAGAAGTGTGGAAGAAACAGAGGGGTTTTTGTGTTCTGCTGATGTTCGAGTTCTGTAACTGTTATACACGCCTGTCGCCCTGATAAAAGGCCATGTAAAGGAAAGTCTTTTGGTGTCTGTGTCCGTGATTTGACTAGGTGCTAACACCCCGCTAGCTAGATTAGCTGCCCAGTCTAGCTGTAGTTTAGACTAGCTTCTGCCCACCACGCGAGGCCGTTACAGTATTTATAAATGTGTATCAAAGTACAGTACTTTACAGTGACAACGTTAACGTGTCTAACCTTTGTAAATACTGTGACGACCCTGACTGGCCACTGATGTTCGTGTGTTCTGTTGTGTGCAAATGGGTTTGACACTGTTGTTGAAAGCTGTTCATGTATTGGTTACCGCTGTTTTCTAGCAAAATGCCGCGCTGTTCTGGACAATGTGGGATGGGGGGAGGAACAGGTGCGGGAGGGTATAAGAGGAATGACAGGTGGGCGTGTTGTTTTAGGTTCTGTTGGCGGGCGATGGTAAAGTTCGGGAAGAGACCTGTAATGTTCTGTTTTTGTTACTTTTTCCAGTGAGCACACAGTGCTGCGTTTTACAACCCTTTACTTTTGTGTTTTTGTACGCCTGAATAAAGCCAAGAAAAGACAGAGACGGTGTTCTCCTCATTGTCAGTCTAGGTGCCAGCTGGATAGTAGTTGCACAGTTAGGTTAGGATCGGACCAGCTCTCCTCAACCCAGCCAGCGGTCGTCACATTGGTGTCAGAAGTGGGATAGAAACGGCCGTGGAATGGCACCATGGAGAGGAGTCTGGTCGAACTAGAGAGGGAAATTGAGGAGAGCACCTTCCAGCTGAGACGGCTGGAGAGACAGTTGCGACCAGACGGTGCGAGCGCGCCATGGCTAGTGCAACAGGAGGCGAGCAGCTACAGGTCGGGGCTGCCTGCAGCTATGGCAGGCCCGGAACTCGGGGGGGGGGC